CACGTTTCGAGGGACAGTATCAATTCCGTTCCTCGATGATCTCCTACGGCGATCTCCGCGTAACTCGGTGGACCCACGTTAACGCCAACTTCAAGGAATTTGTATCCCGTAGCCGTCAACGCGTATCGTCTGCTGAGTATACGAACCGCGCGACGCTTCAACAAAATGCTGTAAAAAATAACGAAATTAGTAATAAAAAAATAATACAATTTATAATTTGCAATTTAAAAAAATATAAAGTTTTATAATTTTAAGAAAAAAACGAAAAAACTTACTTGTTACACTTGTTCTCGTACGATGGAGTTTCATCATCATCATCGTGAATCAGTACGTAATAATTTATACGTCTACTGCCACTGCTGTTACCGCCGTTGCTTCCTTCAACGGAATACATTCTTTCTTTCGGATATGAGAAGTGAACACCGTTCGCACAAGCAGTCGATACGAGACTAGTCGTATAAAATTAATCGAATATACGCGGCAACTTCCAAAACTATGATGAAGGAGGGGGAAATTAATGTTTCTGGAACGCCCAATCAGCGCTCTGAAAATTAGGAGAGGGGACTAAGGTTGGATGTTTTTTTTTATTAAGATGTATCCCCCCTCCCCCTAACCCTTCCGCATGACATCAACCGTGAAACATGTTCAGACATGTTCGCTGAAACCTGATACCCCCCCTCGAAGCTATCGAGTTAGAATTCGTCACGTATACCTACTTATTCTTTAATTTTGTATACTATCGACTAATGGGAGAAAGGAAATAAAACATTGTAAAATTTACACATACATACATATAAAATTTATTTTTTAAAAAGATGACAATTCTTTCTGGCGTTTCGACCACCAGTTAAATATTTTTAATACATTTTGCAACGCGCAATTCTTAACGTGTTTTCCATATCGCATAGTATTAGTAGCATCTAGAATATTTAAAGATTCGATATCTTCGTAATCCGCATCCAGAGTCTCGATGTTTAGGTTTTTTCTCGCTTTATTTTCAAGCAGATCCACCAGCCATTCTCGTTTCTGACATCCCTTGACGTACACGAGAGTCGGCATCTCGTCGTCGTCGTCGTCGTCATCGTTGTCGTCATCGATGTCGTCCTCTTCCTCACCGAGCACGGCCGACGTAATTAAACGCTTCACGTTGCTGTACGGCACGTTTCCGTCTTCCCATCGTAATCCATGGTGATTGCGAATCAACCAGGAAGCGCACGATTTGTCGGATTTTGTGAGGAGACAATCGAATTCTAGTCTGACATCCACGGTGGCGTTTTTGACGGATTCGTTTTGTCGAGAGCAATCGATGATCACGAACGGGCCGTTACGTAGAAAAGTCGAAACGGTGAAACTCGGCTCGAGATATTTGTATCCGTAATAGCCCTTGCAGAAACGCGCGTACATATCGTAGAGAATCGCCCATCTGTGTTTACCAAGGTCCAAATTCAAATCGTCGTACGGATAGACTTCCGAGTTTAGGTAGAGTTTCACGTTGGTCAATTTGCAGTCGTCGGATCGGCTCGTGTCCGCGGACATGACGTTCTTCCGACCCGTTTGCAGAACAAAGACGACGTATCGCGGTTTCTCGAGCTGAGTCGCGGTCTTAATGGCCCACGAGTGCTTGGTCGTGTTCTGCAACAGGGGATACTCGTACAGATCCCACGAACGGAAACCCATACTTAGATATCGTCCGTTTTCCAAGGCGCGCAGCATCAACAGCTTGTTGACCTCGCTCAATACCACGTGAGGCATTCGCCACTGTATCTTGAGTAGTTTGACAGTAGGCTCCAACGCGAGACTTCCCACCAGACAATTGTTGTCGGTGCGCGATCGTATCAAGATTAATTCGTGACGAGCGTTGATCACCACGCGTTTGTAATCCTCGCAAAATCCCAGTAACAGGTTGAGCGGTACGCAGAAATTGAAGTATCCGTTGGGGTTATTATGTGGTTCCCAGCCCGCGTTTTGCAGGATCACGCTTCTGTCGGACGATACCGTTACGTAGTTCTTGAGCGTGCTGGTTATTCCTACGTTTCTGCAGTGATCAATCTCCACACCGTCGAGCTCGTATCGAATTTCATCGAACATGAACGCGACGCAATTATTCCCCAATACCACGTTATCGGCTTGGCCGGCTGCTCCGGTCACCGTCAATGTTCCTTCTACGTAGAGAAAACTTTCGCACGGCAACGTATACAGATCCTGCTGTTGTGTGGGTATTCGTATCTCGTCGCTATACTCGAACGTTGTGTTGGCGTACGGGTTGTACGTGTGAGTCTCGATCTTGACGATGCGATCGTCAAAGACCGGCTCGCCTCCGATGTTAAGAATTTCAGTCATCGTTCAGATGTTTCGTACCGCGAATCCCAGAGATTGTAAAAATTTAACGTTTGATGCGTTGAGCTTCTTTCTCGTCTCTGTTTTCGTCTCTGTTTTAACGCTACCGAATGTCGATTTGATGATATCGTCGATCGTCGCAGTCGTAAAGATATTCTTATCTGTCGCGTGCTCCGAGTCGTTCAACACGAGCATGTCACACGTCGCGCGTTATCGCTGTAGCCGTTGTACGTGCAATCTGACGGTGATCTTTTCTCCTCGAAAATCGAGCAATCGTCCGTCTTGATCCGTGACGTGTATCGTTAGATCCGTAACGCTTCGCGCGATGATCGGCAGGTAAATGAACTGTGCGCCGGCGTTTCCGATATCTTGTATCCCGGTGGTACGCTCGGTGAAAATTCGTGTATCGTGTGAACACGTTTGCCGTTGCTGTACGCACCCGCGGTCACGTTACACTCCACGCGGATAATGTTTACGTTGATAATATTAATCGACGCGTCCGATTCGTGCCACTGTCCCGGCTGCAATATACGCTTCGACAAGAATCCCAGCAGCGATCCAACGTTGTTCGGTTTGTTAAAATTCACTTTGAAAGCGCACTTGATCTCGCTCTTCATCGTATTGTAATTTGCGCGGAGCACTATCGGGTATTCCGCGGCCCCGTCTTCGTAGCTGTTCGCGCGAGCGGTCGCCTCTCGCGCGATATTCGCGACCGACGTACGATCATCGTTGGAACGATTTACGCGTCGCGGGCGTTTTCGTAAAATTTCGCGTTTTAAAAACTCATGTATGGCTCGTATCTCGTACGATCCCTCGGGAATCGTAATTTCCGTGTCATCCTCGTTAAAATAAAATTTATTGTTCGAAGAATTCACGTTCGGAATCGTGTGATAAGTCTCAAAACACGTTAGACCGAGCTCGTAGTCACCGTCGCTCAGATCCACGGCGGGAAAATAGTGTTCCGCGAGGATGCTGCTCTTCCCAGTCAGCGTGAACGTTATAGACATGTCGGCGGAAACCGTTAACGAATACTGAGTCACCACGGCGCACCGTCAGGCTTTAAATTAGCGTCGATCGTCCGGAGAAATCGCAGGCACAATTGTCCACAGATGTTCTGATCGTATCGCTGATAAGACGTGCAATTGTACTCGATCTTCGTTGCGCTCGGCCCGAAATATCGCACCAATTCTTTCGGCGGTCGAAGATTGCCGAAACTGTCGAAATATACGACTCGATCTTCTCTCTTCGCGTACGCTACCCAATGAGTACCGGGACCCGCTGCATCGTCCAAATTCACGATACCGCTCTCGTTTCGACGTACACCGCCGATCGGTAATAAATCACGCATGAAGACAGCTCTGAAGAACGGTACGCGCATACGCCTTGCCAGTCGATTTAATTGTACGTTAGTCGTAATACCCGCGGGCATATTTAACGTCTTTTTGACGTTTTCTTTTTTTTTTTTTTTCAACGCTACTTCTCGCCCGCGTTTGTGCGGGCCGAGATACAGCCCTCGTCCATATTTGTACGGAGCGAGATAAAGTCCGCGACTTTCCACGGCGCGATTGTGACGTTGCATCTCTTCCAACTGACGCCGCGCGGCTTTGTTATCGTTCACGGCCTTTACGACTTCCGCCGCTCCGCCGGCCAGAGAACCGAGAACTCCCAACAACGGTAGAATCGGCAATACACCGCCTCGTTTCGCTGTCGGAAGTATCCGTTTTTTCGTTAGCTTTTTTTCTTCACTGTTTTCGATTTTTTCGTTTTCAAGCCCATTCCGAGCTTCGTCTTAGCCTTCATGGTCGCCCAGACGGCTGTAGCGGCAGCTCTCTCCCCGAGAGTCGAATCTCTTGCGGTAATGCGTTTTCGCGCTTCCGCAGCGCGTATCTCGTCCGCCGCGTGTCTCACGGTGAGATCGCGGTTACGCGAATAGGTTATGTCGTGCTCACGACACGTCGCGTCCAATGGATTAATACCTTGATCGCCTCTCGCCAATCGTTCTTGTAAACGAGTTCCCGGACCGCAAAATTGATAGCTGGGAATGTGTAATTCGAACGGAAGTGCGTTTATCGCGCGATTTAACAGGCTTCCACCATTTTTTTTCGTTGACATTCGCCGCAATCCTTTATCATTGGCGCGGGACCGTCGATGTGCGTTCGCTGCCACGGTTGATTGTAATGTTCGTAACAGCGACGATATGCTTGAACCTCCAAATCCGCCTTTATATGTTCCGGAAGCTTGTCCTACCCGTAGTGGACGTGATCGCCGCACGTTTGCAACAGAACGGTTTTCGGCACAAATTGCAGCTGTTCGGCGCTCAAGTCGCAAATATCGGAAGGTCTCGACAGTAGGACGAACATTTTTGCTACTGAGCGATTCGCGGTTTCGCTCGCCTATAAATAGGCGTTCGAGTCAGCCAGAAAGTCGGCAGTGTGGAAAAAAATGAGATTCGTGCGACAACCGTTGGCGATTCGCGTGACGAATTGCGACGACAGATCACGGTCGATGGGAGGCAACATGAAGAAACGCAAGCACGGTACGATGTTACCGACTACTATACGCGCGATCATTTGCGGCCCCTCGAATTGCGGTAAAACCAACGTCTTGATAAGCTTGCTGGAAAGTCCGCACGGCGTACGTTTCGAAAACGTGTACGTATACTCGAAATCGTTGCAACAGCCGAAATATCGATATTTGGAGAATTTGTTGACATCGATCGACGAAATCGGCTACTTTACGTTCTCCAATAACAGTGACGTCATTCCACCGAGCGACGCGCGTCCAAACTCGATCTTCGTCTTCGATGACGTAGCGTGCGATAAGCAAGACTCTGTGAGAGAGTATTTCTCAATGGGCAGGCACTTGAGCCTCGATTCCTTCTATCTCTGTCAGACGTACGCGAGAATACCTAAACATCTGATACGCGACAACGCGAATCTGCTGATCCTGTTCAAACAGGATGGTACCAATTTGAAACACGTGTACAACGATCACGTGAATACCGACATGTCGTACGATGAATTTTGCGCGTTGTGCCACGATTGTTGGCAACAAAAGTATGGATTCGTAGTGATAGACAAGGACAGCGCGCTTTCGAACGGTTGATACAGAAAAGGATTTAACGTGTTCGCGATACCGTAAAAGCGATCAGTCGTTGCCGATACCTTGTCGGAGGTGAAACGTTAGCGTTACAAAGAGAAATCGACACTCTGCTTTTTCCGCGATGGCCGCGATCGACGGGAGCGAGAATATTCGCAAACGCGAGAAGGTCGTAAAAGAGATTGCGAAGACGAGTGATTCCATTCGCAAAAAACTTCGCGCTTTGAAGACCGGTAAGATCGAGAAGGACATTGAGTTGGACACGCACTTTAAACCTCTCATCGGGCCGTTGAAAAAAATCGTTGACAACTCGAGCTTGATCGCGGTGAAAAAAGAGGAGCCGACGGAGAGCGACGCTGACGCGAAAATCGAACCGCTATCCGTTCAACAGCGCGGGCAGGAGGAGGAGGATGCTACACCGAAGAGAAAGAAGAAACGATTAGACTCCTGGTCGGATCTTTCATTGACACCGCGTAAATCTAATCAATCGACAGTACTACCGATAACCTCTACACCGATAACCTCTACACCGACGCAAACCGTGCAACGTACAAGTCCCGAATTTCTTGAAACCGCGAATGTTTTCGAAACCACGGACGACTCGATCAGGAAAACCGTTCATAAACGGTTGAAAACATCGGAGGGTCGACAATGGTTTATAGAATCGTTGGAAGATCACTTGGG